AGCATAAAATGAAAACGTTTAATAGAACATATTCTGATATTCATCAAAGTATCAAACAAATTCTTGCGTGAACTATAGCTAGATTTGTTGTCGCCAACCAAAAAACAGTCGGCATGTTTCTCTGTTTGTATAGTTACACTGTATTAGTACTGTAGCGTCAGACAATTTCCCTAAAATTACCTGTATATACTAATGAAGAAACACAAATTTAGGCGAAAAGACGGACAGTGTGTACATTGGTTTGCGTTCCGCAATATAAACTGTAAAGGAGCAAATTAAATATCGCGGCCACGCTAGAACTATTCGAATTCAGTTAATAGTTCCGATTGCTATTTGACAGCTAAAAATAAAATTATCACGATCGTTCCATTTAAGTATTGAAGTTTGTAAATCTGTTAAAATATACCCAACAAATTTGTTCTAACAGCAAGAAATTTTAAGCCAAACAGGCATGGCCCTTCTGATTATTATTTAAGTAAAACGACGCCATTTCCCATTCACACTAACACCGCTGGAAAAAACGAAGCCCGCGCTTCCGGGAGCAAAATGCATAGCAACCGACCACCGTGAAAAATCCGTCTTAGCGGACAAATTAAAATTAATAACCACGGTGACCTCCCTTTTTTATTGCAGAAAATACATTATGTTTGTGATGTTACTCTGAGTGCATATCCACACCGGGCAGAGTAACATCACAAACATATTATTCACCTGAGTACACAACACCAGCACAGAAGAAAATACATTGTTATGAACTTTTGAATCTTCTTTGAAAGTTATTTGAAAATCGCCAGTGTAGTTTTTGAGGAACTGATTTTCAGTCTTTCCAAAGGCCAAAATGCAATCTTATAGACTGAAATTCAGTTTGTGGAAAACTACACTGGCGATTTTCAAATAACTTTCAAAAACGATTCAAAACTTGATGGCAATGTATTTTCTGCAATAAAAAGGGAGGTCACCGTGACTATTTGTCCGCTAAGACGGTTTTTTTTGTTCATATAGGCCATATAGATGATGACGTCATGGTAACGTGAAGAGTAGCGATTGTGGGGTAAAGGAGAAAAAACAATATCTTGTAGGAGAAAAAACAATATCTTGTACAAAAAATTAGTTTTTTTAGATTTAAATTAATTAAATAGGTTTTTGTTTGAAACACTGACATATATTGGAAACTGTAGGGAGCCTCCTTAATTAAAGCAATTATAAAGCAATCAATACACCAATATTTAAAACAAACTTACTTTCATTAACCTTCGATTCTCTTGTCCCTTCCTTTAAGCTAGTCTTTCGGCTTTCTTTCTCAAAAAGTTTTGAAATTTACAAAATTTTGGAAAAATGAAATATATTTGCAAGAAATGTTTGTTACTTCGTTGTAGTCATGCAGTTATTGTAATGCAACTTTTAAATTTGACCAGTCAGTATTCACTATGCATGACAGTCCGCTATATTTTAGCGCTTTAGAATATTTATAGAGTTTAGCGCGCTTTATAAACAAAACATTATTATTAGTAGTATTTATTACATATTTTGAGGTGAGTGAAGACGGCCACCCACGCACGTTAAATTACCCATAGAAATATTAGACCTACGGAAGAATGCGTGCTCCTATCCTTTCTCAGTTAAAACTAGAAGATACATGCATGCAGAAACTCTCGCCTTGCTGACAAAACCATTGTATTTTCCGAACATGAAGTATCTAAAGTATTTGTCATGGTAACACTATACACGAAAATAGTTAGGTATAAGGGGAAAAATTTGGAGTAATTTGTCTAAAAATCGTGTATGTCGGGAAAATTTTTTCGTTTAGGTCCGGAAAAATGTTTTTCATCCCTTTTCTTGTATATGTCCGGAAAATTTTTTCTACCCTTAAAATGGCACACTGACCGAAATTTTTTTGGCAATGGGGGTGGAGGTCATGGAAAAAAATTTAGCCCCCCCAAAATGAAATCTGTTCCGCCGCCCCTGATAAAACTATACTGCCTTTCATTAAATGGCTTTATCGATTAACTTTGAGTTTGGAATAAAATGATTTCAAATTCTCGCATGCAAATAACTTTGCTTTCGTTTTTATTTAGTTAAAAAATTCAATATAATAAAAGAGGGAATCAATATTAAAGATACACTGAAATTATATGCTCTATTCTTAGTTGTTTCATATACGCAAGGGTCGTCGGGTTTTAAAGCAATTATAAAATCAATCGTTAAAATAAACTTATCTTCGTTAACGTCGGCTCCCTTCTTTCAACCGATTCTTTCGCCCTTTCTTTCTGAGAAGGATTTTAAAATTTACAAAATCTTGCAAACATGCGGGCAAAAATGAAATATTTTGCAAAAAATTTATTAATCATCAAATCAATAAATGTTTGCTATTTCGCTGTCGTCATGCAGTCGTTATAATGCAAACTTTGAATTTGACCAATCAGTGTCCGCTATTCATGACAGTCCGCCATACATTTGAGATCAGTGAAGATGACCACCCCCGAAACTTCGTTGGTGACCCACGCCCGCGATCATTGATAAACTTTAAACTTCGCTAATGCTTTCGTTTCCCCGGGTGTAAATAGCCGGAAGGATAGCGTACCTCGCACGGAACTTCACGCCGTCGGATCGGGGACAAGTGACGCGACAATAACAATTCAAAATGGCCGATTTATAAGGGCAAATTAAACTCGGCCCAATGACTTTCGCTATAGATCGCTCACCGGACAAATCGAACATGGCCAGTTTATGAGGGCGTTACATATGTTTTCGATTTGGACACCGGTCAAGTGACCAAGCGCGCATGCTAGGTCTAATATTTCTATGAGTAAACCATAGCCATGTACCCTCGATTATTAATCAGCTTTAGACTTCGCAAATGCTTTCCTTTTCCCGTGTGTAAATTACGGAAGTAGTTCTCTCGCCCCAGGCTTACGACCGCAACTGTGCTTCGCGCGTTGGCCCATAGAATATATTAAACTAACTTACCATTTCATTCCAAATATTGCGGAAAAATCAAGAATCTTAAAGTACTAGCTAAATATCGCAATAATAATGCATGAGCAAACAGAGCGGAAATCCGTTTCGGGCGTAAGCTCAGGGACAACCTCGTTCCCAGGCTCTTTGCTCTTGGGAAGCAAAGACCCTGGTCGGGGCTGATAACGTCACACATAGAAAATTGATAGCCGAAGGGGGGATGGAAAAGTCTCATATTACATGTTTCCACTTCCGCACTTCGATTGCAAGGAGTGGCCGTTCTGTACAATCATCTAATTCATCTTCGATATATACCTCAAACTACTTGCTAAATTGGTTTCTATTTGCTTTTAAATTATACAAACATGCTAAAATGCAGATTCTTACAGCAACAGAAAATTCAGGAAATCAAGCAACGAGAACGTATAACTGTACGCTTTGAAATATTTTTATTTTCTCGGAGTTCGCCGGTTCGGGCGTAGTTTCATTTCACGCGTACGTTTCTGTTCTGGCTCTAATATTTATAATATGCTTATAATATGCCAGTGAATTGTTCTGATATGGACACGGTATAAATTTTTTAAACAGATGTCTCAAAAGCGACTGTTTATAGGTGGTAGGATTAGCGCCTGGTCTTAAACGTGACACATTTGGTTTTGGACACAAGCCAAATACACATTGAATGTCCATTTTATTGATTCTAAAACTGTTTATAGACATATTGCTCTAGATTTTTTTTTAAAAGGTTATCATCGTTTATGTTAAACACCAGGAAGACAAAATATAACGTACAAAATTGTTTGAAATCGACAGTGCACAGCTGACATACGACAATTCACAATTGCATGAATTTCCTTTTTTGTCGATCTGCATGAGTACCAGTTAGTTGAAGCCAAAATATTGCACAGCATCTCCTATAAATTCTATCGCCATTTACCCTCTCCCCTTAAATGCAAAGGAATGACAGCAGAAAAGGTTTAGCAAAGTATTTTTTATTACATCTGGTATAAAGTGTCCTACGTTTTATCAGGATATACATAATTCATAAACTGTATATGCACACGAAGTCTCGCTTATATTAATGAGTTTTACTGTAACAAACCTTTTAAAGTTTCCATTGATAGATAGGTTGTTTGCCTCCAGTATTGTTTGGTAAAACAGACTATTAAAACTTCTAAAATGTCGATTCCAGTATACGATAAAGATTAAAGTTGATTTAAATATTGATAACTCACAGCGGCATTAATCCATTATACAAGTCTAAAGAAGCTGGATTATTCTTCAATAAAGCCCTCAATCGACAATGCCAATGTCAATGAAAGGTCTAATATTATACATGTTGCAAATTACTGTATACACAAAATATGAAATAATTTATATAAAGTACAATACCAGTGTCTGGTGCATATATCGTCGTAGATATTCAAGATGTACCGCACGCACGGAAACGCACGGAGGAGTCTTGGCGTTTGTGTGATAACAGATAGCTAGCTACACTTCGACATTATCTTTCTTGATCGTTGAGTTTCAGCAATGTAAATGAAATGAATCCTGTGCTTTTACAGTCAAAATAGCACTATTGTTTACACATGTTGGCGATGTTAAGGAAATCAAAGGATCCCGTTATAAAATAAATCTTTTGTTTTGAATATCGGACAGGATACACTTCAACTATAAAGAACCATATCGTTCGTTTAATACCGTTTGATCGATCAGTCTGTGTAGACACGGTTAATAGAAGGAGACTGGTTTGGCTAGCCGTATCACGTGACAAATATGTTATTGTTCGGATCAAATTACAGTCACGTGACCAGATGAGTGCATGCCACCACGGTTAATAGAAGGAGACTGGTTTGGTTAGCCGGCGAACATCAAAGTAAGGCGGCAAATATGTTAAGGATCAAAGAAAAAAATATCACGTGACCAGATGAGTGCATGGCCTTTGTGTGGGCTTTATTAATTTAATATGCTTCAATTTGAAATTTGATATACTTCCTTCTCAAAAATCGAACGAAAGGCCGCTTGACAAACCGAAATCAGAAGACATGGAACCCGACTCACATGAGGAGAAAACTGAGGGGGAATTGTTTCAATCCCAAGCGATAAATGTTGATTTTGAAAGCGAAAAAGAAGCGGAGGAGTTGGGAATTGATAGCGTGCTTGACACAGATGAAAGTTTGCTTGTTGACGACGTCTACAAGCTTGATATTAGTGTATTTATAGCCGAAACAGAAACACCAGAAGCGGATGATGTATTCGACGATGCTTTGTTTGAAATGGAAGGCAAGAAATCATTTAATTGTAACATTTGTTTGAAGGTTTGCAAATCGAAAGGAGGGCTGACAAGACACCAGAATTCAAAGCATGCTGAAACAACGAAAGGTTGCGATAATATTCCAGGTTTAGCACTTGATCAAAACGCGGTAGATGGTTTTGTCGAAGCAATTAAATCTCGGATCATTGAAGAAAATCTTTACGCGCAGGAGACAAACTCAGGATTGAAAAAAGTAACTTCAACGCCGAAATTATACCAAGCTTTGCTGCCTATTTATCAGACATTTTGTCGAAAGAAAAATCAAGACACTTTGTTAAAAGTATTTTATGGTTTAATTCCACAATCATGTGAATTATTAAATTGTAATGACTTCCAGGTTGCCAATTTAATCATGATTCAACTTCCAGACTTTTTAGTTGGACATTACAACACGGTCATTCAGCGTCAGAAACATGGCGAAAGCAGTACTGGGATTACTCGTGACAAGCCATCTGAATTAAATTCAGCAGAACGTGGCCCACTTGCTTATATTGGTGGCTACATCATAAGTAAACTTACTCAGATAAATAAGAAGAAGGGAAATATAAATGAACAAATCCAAGCTTTATTGCAAAGCATGAAATCAACAGGACCAGCAAATTCCTTTATTGCCAATAGAACAAGAGGTGGTCTTACCTCGCCATCTGGTGATCTAATAAATATTTTGGAAGCTGCCGAATTAGCATTTCGGGATGAGATAAACAAGAGTGAAGGGATTATTCGAAATATTCCTACTGACACTATTTACAATGCGGTTGTTGAAAACCCAAAAGTCAAATCGTTATGGGAAAATATTGTTATGTCATGCAGTATTCAACCATCTTCAACAACACAGAAATTGTGCTTAGAAAATGTATTGAAACTCTTCTTGAAAGTTCGATCTTTTTCTTATGCCAAGGATTACATTTCAAAGTACCAAATTAAAGAAAAGCAAGGGAAAAACAAAGCACTGAGAAATGAATTAAAAAGGAAGACATAACATAGCATCTCTATACATGACAGTTTATGTGGAACAATTATCTGTAACCTTTGAAACTACAATGAACCCTACTTTGTTATTTTACTCATTTTAATGCCAGAGTATCTTTTACTCGCTAGTCAATTCATAATGCTAAAGATAATATGCTTGAATTAGACAGAGTAACCAGATAGCCTGATCGATGAACCATTTAAGTAGTAAATTTGTCTGGCAATAGAAAGAGTAAAATAATAAAGTAGGGCTCATGAAGGCACATTGCCACTCAAAGGGTTAAAGAGGCCATTTGGCTTTCTGTGGGCATAGGTGTGTAAGTTTGTACAAAAAAACACAGAATATTTCTCACCTACCATATTATTCCTGTAAATTTCATCCATAGTTCAATTATTACATTATTACGGTAACAGTAATAATTACATTATTGATGCAACAATTAAATTAATCAACACTCCCATATTTATACTAGCTTTTTCAATGTAGCACAATTAACAAATTAATTAATGATATCCAGATAAGAGTCAATATCAATTTAGTTCTAATGTGACACAATAGTACAGTTTTTTTACACAACATTCTGCTGTTGGCATAGATGTCCAACTATTTATTTAAAATTCGAGCATCCACTCGACACATTTCCCGTTGCTGTACTATATGCTTTGACCTTTAGCACTAGCATTTTCCCACCATTCTGAATATGATTACTCTTAACTAAATTTTGGTGATAAAATATTGTAAATCCTCCATTAATCCTGCTGGGGACTATTAACATTTCAGGGCCTGGTGCCGATTGGGCACTTTATTGAAAGTAGAGGGCTTAATTGAGGATATTACATAATTATGCACATTATTCAAATGTATGAGCTCCCCTTATATATGAGCTGTCAACTTATAATTATGTCCTATAAGGTTTATTGGGTCGTTCCAGAAAAGATCCACACTCCCCCCACGGAGGAAATTTCTACCATCCGGAGGGGAAGGGGAGGCAAAATTGTTTCTGATAATAGTAAATGTATTAGGACATCCGAAGGTGGTAGGGGGGTTAACTTCCAATTTCCTCTGTGAGGGTGGTATGGATGTTTTCTGGAATGACCCATTGGCTTGTTTTGTAATAGAGTGCAAAGTTTAAAAATTAATTTTGTGCATATAGTTTCAATTTACATGGCAATCTAAAAATTCACAATGTTATGACTGGCAGCCGTTTATGCATCTGTACACCAATCCTGGGCAAACTGAACATTTTATAGAAGATAGTATGAAAACTAGTCCAAATAAGTGCATAATGGTACGGTGATGTAACTTGGAAAAAAAAATAGCTGTGAATTTCAACTCTATTGCAAGATAATCACCAGGAATGCACTAACTTGGACTAGCTTTGTGTGTTGTTTTATCAAATGTCTAATTGTCAGTACCGGTACTTTTCTTTTTCTTTGAACGTTTTTTAACTGGTTCGTCACTCACTTCTTGCCACTTCCTTACCTCATACCGACCTCCAACATTGCCCCTGATAACTGGGGCAATATCCCTCTGAGCAGCAATGGTCAAATCATTGTACCCAAACTCTCGAGCAGTGGGGTTGTCCGACCTTCCTCCTTTCGCTCTCTGGTGACCAAAATAGTCTTCCAATACATCCTGCATGAAACGCTCTGTCAAGACATATTGAAATCCCTCCTTTAAAAGAAACTGTATAGCTTCAACATGTGCATTGACAGATATCTGCAGACCTTCATATGTTTGGGGAGACAGAAACATT